AGAGAACATTTTGAGAGTTACCAGATGGGAGAGGGATTGGGGGAGTCAGTGAAAAAGTGGGAAGGGATTAAGAAGTACAAACTGGTAGTTACAAAATAGTCATGGAGATATAAAGTATAGCATAAGGAATATAGGCAATAATATTGTAATAACCATGTATGGTGTCAGAAGGGTACTAGATTTATTGGGGTGATCACTTTGTGAGTTATACAGATATATAATCACTATGTTGTACCCTTGAAACTAATATAATATTGTATGCCAACTGTAATTGGAAAATTTTTTTAAAAATTTTAAAAGTCTAATCGTTTAGGAAACTAAAAAGAGCTACAATAATTTAGTCTATATTGAAAAAGGTAACCAAATTTCTCCTAATTAGAGAAATAAAGATGTGAGGCACTAGGAAGATAGAGGAATTTACAGTGGAAGTAGAGAGCTCATTAGGAAATCAAATAAACTAATTTGGACATCAAATAAATCTGGCAAAATGGATAGAATTTTCAGAAACCAGGGATTGGCATGGTGTGGTTCCATTTCCATCAGTGAAAAGGACAATTACTATTTGATTCAGAGGTAGAGAGTTAAAAGGCTTCAAGGTTTAGAGGCTGATGGCTAAATCTGGGAGATTTCTGCTAAGTCCTGAGACTTAGACAATCGTGACAGTTAAGAGCTAGTTAAGTGACAATGGTACTTCTTACATTTTGAGATTCCGTATCCAGAATATAGGCAAGGTTTAATGTTGGGGTGTAATCCCCTTGAAGCAAACACTGAACTAAAGCATTAAGAGCTCTTACTCCCATGGCTAAAACTAAGTGTGTATCATTGAATGTTGGATTGACCTCCTGCGGATGTTGATTAAGAAGAACATCCACCAACTGGCACCGAACAAGGCATCTGAAAGGTGGAAAGAACTTGAGAGAGTGTCTGGTTAAGCTTCCTTGTTTTACATACAGACACTGAATCCAAAAAGCATAAAATATCTGCCCCAAGTTTTCGTGGGTAGTTAGTGGCCAAGCTGGTTTGGCCACTAAACCAGCAGGTTTAAAACGCAGGTTTCCTGACTCTTTGTCCAGTGCTCTTTATAAGCCAGAGGGAGCTGCGAGGCAGTCATCTGTAGGATCACCTGAGTCAGTCAGCTCTCTACCATCTGGGCCAACAGGAAAACAGTGACTCACAGAATCCAAAGTTCCTTTGGAATGCAGGAGAGGTGTGCCTTTCTTCTTTGCTGTGTGCCTTTTCAATTTTTGTAAATAAAACTCTATTTTAAATGCCCTGGGAGAGCTGGCAATTGTAAGTGCCTTGCAGGCCAAGATCATATTTGGTGATACTTAGCACAAGCGTAGACTGATTGACTGATGGGTCATTTGATAGATGGAGAACAAATTTCTGTACTTTGAACTTCAAGTCGTCAGTGACTTTTTGTTTAGACCAAAAGCCACGTTCATTTGCATTTTGAAGCACTCAGGAGTGGGAGGGAGAATTGGAGGTTGAAATCTGCCAAGGGTAATATATGAAACAATTGAAAGCTAGCTGTTTGAAAATGTGAAGGTAATTGTTTTTAAAGCCAGATTCCATTGTTTTCTAATCCAGGAGACCTTGAAAACTCAAGGATCTCATACATCAGACCCATTATCTAGGGATAAATACTGTTTGATTACTAAAGCTACAACAGGTAAGGAAGAAACTGGTTTCTCTGACACAAAGAGCAGACAACACCCTTCAAATTAATCCCAGCTGTCATCTAGGCCACGGCCTGCAAGAATCTTGCCTTCCTCTCCTTACAACCACACAGGGCACTGTAGAAATACTATAGGCTACAGCCACCTTTATTTCTGCCACCTCATGCCGGCCTCCAAGTCTGTAGGTCAAAGACACTCAGTTTTCTGTTTCTAGGCATGCTAATGTCCCTTAGCATACTGGAAAGCACTTATCTGCAAAGCTACTATAATGACACTATGAAAGAAAAGTAAAATCTTAATAATAAGCCATTTTCATCTTGCCATTCTACTGCTCAAAAGTCTTTAATGACTATTCATTGCCTACAGCATCCAGTTCAGACTACTGAGGTGACTTCTGAGGCCTTCCACAGGCGACCCCACCTCTCCTTTCCTGTTTCTTAGCCTCATTGTTCTGCTACATAGGCCCTTCCGCTCAGTCATGTTGACCAATTCACCACCCTCCAAATATTCATGTGTCTTTCCCAGTTGAACACATTCCTTTCCTTGCCCTACATTTCATTACCCATCTATGCAAATGCAACTTTCCACGGCTCAGCTCAAATTGCTACCTCCTCCCCGAAGTCTCTTTGCTACCCAACTACCAGGATTTCATGCTTCTTTCCTCCATGAGAACAAATCTACATTCTTGTTTTCCTCTGCTTTGAATACTCCACACTGTCTGGTATCCATTCTTAATAAATATTTGTGAATCGATTAATTCTAAATAACCCAAAACAAGGTTTCCATTTTCAAAGCTCTTTAAAATAAGTAATCATTTGTAGCTGTTATTATATCCACACAATGGAAACTTCGCAGCATCTAGTATGTTGTCATTGGATTCCTTTCTTTCCACAGAAGACCAAACTAGGTCATTTCAAACCTCAGTCACCTTCAGAGAGGTTCTAGAAGGGCATGCTAAGAGTCAGCAAAGAATATATTCTTGGATTACTGACTTGTTGTCCAGATCTGCTACTGAATCAGATTCAGGCAAGTGTGAACTGGAGAAATGAACTAATCATTAGCACATACAAACAAAATGAAAAGAGCTCTTTTGTTACATTGGCTGGATATTCAGGCTTGAAAGGAGGGAGTAAAGGAGGAAAAAGGAGAAGGAAAATACAGGCTTCAATTGCCTTCCCTTCAAATGTGCTTTTTTTGCCGTTTCTGTTTCTGCTTTTCACAACTATGTGATGGTCCTGGAATGTTTGAGAGGCATTAAATCAGTATTGAAAAGATGACTTACTGTAATCTGATGAAGATATCTACTAACATGTTTATCACCCCAGACGCTCTTTTAACTGGGTCCTCTTTAGTATGCCCAGAAAACATTTCTTTGCTAAATTAAAAAGTGCTAGAAGTGGTACCCTGCCTGTAAAATCACATCTGATTTCAGTGGTCAGCCCAGAATAGTCAATGCAGTCCTACTTCTAGGTCCAGTAACAGGGGTTATTTATTTCATAGATTTCATTTAATGGATTTGGCCACATCCTCAAAAGACAAATATGCTATCTAGAAAGAGGAAAACTAAGTTATGGAGGGTGAGAAGAGAGTGAAACCAAATAGCAAATGGACAGAAAAGCTAATATGACAGCTGTAGCTTTCTAAGCATTAATTAATTCAAAATTTTATTCATTCACTGAACTAATAAATACTGGCCATTATACGTCTGCTCAATAGTGTCATTCATTCAATCAGACTATACATATCAATTGAGAACTTATCTTCTGCTAGCTAGTTAACCACTAGATATAACTTTTTCACAGCTCAAAAAGTTACTAAATATAACTTGAATAGGGGGCATTAGAGATGAAAAATTGTAAATATTAAGACAAATAATCAAGGTAAAAATTATGAGTAACATTTGAATAATTTTTCTAATGTCAAAATTTTTATGATAAAATTTGCAAAGTTTTCCTCTCGTGCATCACTAATCTTCCTTCACACCCCAGGCACATGGGGGGGGGGTCTTACTTATTGATCCCCAGCTGTACCCAATTGAGAATAAGCTTAGTTACAAAGGAAGCAACTGAGACTTTGGGCTCTGGAAGCAGACGGATAGGAATATGAATACGTAAAACACTAAGTCCTGTGTAAAATTAGCACAGATGGCAGCCAGTATTATTATTATCTAAATACCACTATTGGGTATTTTCTTAACAAATTTCTTTAAAATTCTATTTTATAGTTGTGGACCTCTCTAGACCCATGGTTCTTAAAAGGAAGTAGGAATTTTGACCCCCAGAGACATTTGGCTAAGTGTAGGGACATTTTTGATTTTCACAGCTTGGGGAGGGAAGGTGCTCCTAGAATCTGGTGGGTAGAAGCCAGAGACACTACTCAACATTCTACATTGCACAGGAGAGGTCCCTACAACAAAGAATTATCTGGCTCAAGATGTCAATAGTAGCCAGTAGAAACCCCTCTCATAGCCATTATTTTTTGTTCTCTTGGAGCCTGGTAACCCCCAAAGACATCAGGATCTAACTTGAGACCAGGCTAAATGTTCTATATGTTAGCCTGGTACAAGCTCACTAGCTGTGCCCGCCCCTGCCCCCCACCCCCCTTGTTAGCTTTAGCTAGTTGCTTAACCCCTTTGAGATTCCTTTCTTAAAAAAAAATTTTTTTTACATGATATGGATCATACTTAACTCATAAAGTTGTGGGGAAAACTGAATCGTTATATTTGTGTCAAGTTATATATATTACACATTGTTTTATATATAGTTATATAGTTACATATAAATATATTCAGTAAAAATTAATTCCTTTATTTTTCCCAGCCCACTCACCCATCCCCCACCCTTCCCTTACCCCTCTCAGTACCCCCATCCCTGAGGCTCAGGTTCTCTCTTTTAAAATGCTTTAATTCCTTTGGTGGCAAAAATCAGACTTGGGCTGGGAAGTGAGTCACCACTCAGCAGCTAAAGGAGCTTGTTTTTCTTCCTCTGAATACATTTGCTAAGAATTTCTGCCTGATCCTTCAGCTGCTTGTTGGTTGAATCCCCTCTTAATGTTTAAGACACACACACACACACACAGAGGAGAGAGAGAGAGAGAGAGAGAGAGAGAGAGAGAGAGATAGAGAGCGAGCGAGCGCTATGGCACCAAGACGTTTTTCAATTGTTAGGAATGAGAGTTTTTTAAATACCGAAAATAACAAGAGGGCAGAGTGCCCTGAAATTCTGTTACATAACCAAATGTTGGAGGACCGAGGCTGGTTTTGAGGTTCCATTCTCAACAAGCCAGTCTCTGCTGATCCTCCCCAACCTTTGCTGGATTTACCTTAATGCCGCGGAAGTCTCAAGAGGGGCCTCTGGATGCTGCACACTACCGACAGCACAAGGAGAACTTTCTTGTCAAATAAGCACTGCCGGGAGTGATGAGGGAAAGGGCCGGGTTTTACCAGCGGGCGGTAGGATGACAGGGGCTGGGGGCGCTGGGGGTGGCCAGCATCCGTCGCGCCAGTAAGGGTCCGCCCCGCGCTCCCGCCCGCTCGGCGTCCACCCAGCACTAGGGCTTCGCTCCTCCGACGCCCAGCTTCCCCTCTTTTGCTTGGCTTAGGAACCCTTCAGTTTTCCTGAACCGTTATTTAGCTTTTCAAATTCACAGAAAACACCTTTAATTATAACAGTCACCCACAACACACCTCTCCCGCCCGCCCCACCAAAAATGTCATACAAAAAACGGAAAATAATCCCATTTCCCTTTTCTTCCAGATCTTGCGTGTTTGGGTGTCTCTGTCTCCTAATCATTTTCTCCCCAACCTTTCCCCACATGTGGTCCCTTTCTCTATTTCTCTATTTCCCTTCGTTCTTTTTCTTTTCCTTCTCCCCCTCTCTCCCTTTCCCTTTTCCACTCCTTCCTCTGCTCCTCCACCTCCCTCCTCGCCCCCCTCCCACCCCGCTCCCACC